ATTTCAAGTCCACTCAGACACTGCCTGGCACAACCCCTGTACAGGTGTACAGGCACGTGTACACTCTGGCACAGGTGTACAGGCACGTGTACAGGTGTACAGGCACCTGTCTCACAAGATCAACTTTCAATTGAAACACCCTCACCCTTAAAAAAATTATAATTACTCCATATAAATTTTACTATTAAAAATAAATACCAATATATCATCCATTAACAAAAAATATTTAATCACTGTTTTGCACGGAAAAACAAACATATTAATTTGACCAGAACACACACACAAACCAAAAATATTCCCATGATCAAAAGCACCTTTCACAGGCTTCTGAAAGGTGTCAAAAGGGCCCCTCCTCCCCCGATCAATTCCTAAGCATTTTATCGACATTGTTCTTGAACGCAATTTCGTATTTCAGAATCATGTTACAAAGACCTAAGTTAATGAGACTTTTACCCCGACTTACAGATGAGCTTTATAGAACTTACGGGTTTCTTTGAGAACAAAGACTGGCCCGATACATTTTGAGACGCTTGTATGTGTGTATGTGTGAAAGAGAAGCCGTCTTGACGGCATTCTTGACATCAGCCTCTGAGCCGCTCTAAAATGGCAATGTCAAAGAAACCTCCTCAGTTCGTTGTCAGCGTCAATATCTATCTATATGTAAATGCTCCAGAGGTGCGTGGGTGGTGTGGGTGACACAGGCAGTGATAAACAATGGGAACAATGGGGGGATTGGCGGCCACACTCTCACCCATCATTCAGAGGCGTGAGGTGGTGGTGGGCGTGGGCGTGGTGGTGGGCGTGGTGTGGTGGTAGTGGTGGTGGGCGTGAAGTTTGGGGTTCATTCAGACACGTCTGATGGTGGTGGGCGTAAGGTGGTCGTGGGCGTGAGGTGGTGGTCGTGGGCGTGAGGTGGTGGTCGTGGGCGAGGTATTCTGATGCTTGGCAGATATGGAAGAGGTATAGTGATTTTAGAACAGAGGTTCTAACTGTGGTAGAGGTATGGTAGGTAATGGAGGGGCGGATGGGGGTGGTTGTTGTGGGTAGGGGTCGAATGGTAGTAGGTTTTATTGTCAGAGATTGTGATTGCTTGTTGTAGGAGAGCTGTGTGGCTTGTGGGAATGGAATTGTGGTTGCTGGAGATGGGCAGGGATTGTTTAGGAGGTGTGGTTGTTGATTGAGAATTGGGGGAGAGTGGAGGTGGTTGTAGTAGAGAAGTGGAAGTTGTGGAAGACAAGAGATATGGGAAGAGAAGTGACGATTCTGAGAGACAGGAGCGAGAGTAACTGACGTTTAACAAATAAACACGACAATCACAGCCCCCCCCCTTATAGTACACATTATCTCCAACAGCCGTTCTCAGTACCAACAGGCGGACTGATCACCCATCAAACCATACGGAATGCCAGTGCTAGGGGGGAGACACCTATTCTGAAGCCTCCCGACCGTCCAGATCGGAGGATATTGAAGTGCTCTTACGCGGTGCGGCCGACACGCAAATTTGATGTCGGGAATATGGTGATTGGACTGTCCTGTGTCGGGAGGTAACGTAACTGTGAATCATTCCTGCACGACTTGCAGGCAGCCTCCACCAAATTACAACTGAGGGCGTCCCGTTGTTGTTGTTGTTTAAGGTGTATTGCTCTGATTTATTCGATTGCGTACTCACCTAGTTGTGCTTGCAAGCTCTGTTGTTGTTGAGCTCTGCTCTTTCAACCCAACCACTTGAACTGGACGGTAGAGCCACGGTCTCGCTTTATGCTGGCCGGCGTTCAATTCCCGACCGTCCAAATGGTTGGGCACCATTTCTTCCCATCCCAAATCCTTATCCTGACCCCTTCCCAGTGCCACATAGTCGTAATGGCTTGGCGCTTTCTTCCTGATAGTTCCCTTCCCTTCTTTCGGCCCGCCTCTCAACTGTCAATTAACCAACTATTACTACTAATGCCCCCTCCCCACACACACACACATACATACACACAGGAAGCAGCCTGTAACTGCTGTCTAATTCCCATGTACATATTTACTGCTGGGTAACAGAGGGCATCAGGGGAAAGAAACTCTGCCCACTTTGTTTCTCGCCGGCGCCGGGAATTAAACCCGGTCTGCAGGATTACGTGTCTATATTAACATCTGGAAATACTAGGGTAAATAGTGGCCCTGAGGTTAATTTACTTTAACATTTTGGAGAATTGATGGAAATATGCAAGATAGAGGAGCCAGCCTCTTAAGTTGTGTGTGTGTTGGAGGCCAGCTGTTAACCTGACACAGAAAACGATGTATATATGATTGTATAACTGTTTTATTTTAAAAATAATGAATTTTGCGTAAGGCGAAAGCAGATATCTAAATGCGGGTTCTTTATGTTTTTAGCCTCAGTATTAAGTTTTTACAAAAATATATTGTACGGAGGGAAAATGTATATTAAATGAATGTTAAGGACGCCTATTTAATTGTATTTTTTTGTTCTATAAATTTTCCGTTGCTATTGTATATAATTCGCTGATTTTTTTAATGTACCATGAGAATTCATCCCATCTTATTTAGGTAGTTTAATAGCGTAGCGACGAGGACCGTCTTTAATATATTAACGTAATGGCCAATTAGAAAGTAGAATTCAGTACTTGTGAAATTGGACAAACCGGAAAAGATTTCGTATTTGATGTTGCAAAGAAAACTTAACATAACCTAACCTTACTAGGCCTACGAATATTTAAGTTCGGTTTTTAACTTAATTTTTTTGGACGCTATAAAGGGAATAGTACCTAATTGTACTATCTAATTGTCCATTAGGTCTATGAATATTGGTGCACAGTGTTATAAAGAGTACTTTTACCAGTCTCTGTGGTGTAGTGGTAAGACACTCGCCTGGCGTTCCGCGAGCGCTTTGTCATGGGTTCGTATCCTGGCCGGGGAGGATTTACTGGGCGCAAATCCTTAACTGTAGCTCTGTTTAACTCAACAGTAAAATGTGTACTTGGTTGTAACAACGATTCTTCGCGGCGGGGATCGTATTCCAGGGACCTGCCCGAAACGCTACGCGTACTAGTGGCTCTACAAGAATGTAATTACTCTAGTATATATCTTAAAAAAAAACACTATCTAATCAAGAGCATGGGTTGCAAAATTCCTCTTGCGTCATCTTCAATCTTCAACCAAACCTAACTCACCATCATCAGGCGAGTTAGATTTTTTTTTTTAGGATTTCTCGATATCGATTATTTGATACACAGAAGTAGTTTGATATCGCCGTTCTGAAATAATGGGTGGAGGAAGGAATTATCAAGCGCCAAGCCATTATGGCTATATAGCACTTGGAAGGGGTCAGGATAAGGATCTGGGATGGGACGGGGGGAGAAAGGAATGGTGCCCAACCACTTATGGACGGTCGGGGGATTGAACACCAACCTGCATGAAGCGAGACCGTCGCTCTACCGTCCAGCCCAAGTGCCACGGAGGTATGAGTTAATGTGTATAGAATCCTCACCCACATCCCATGGGGGCTAGAGTATAAAATCTTGACCACATCACGGACTTATTCAAATTCAAATTCAGGAGAAGTACATACATGTTTGATGAGTTACAAACATAATGTTGGATTTATAGAGCTAGTACATACAATACCTAAAGCCACTAATACGCATAGAGTTTCGGGCTAGAACTAGAGCACAGCTAGAGCACAGAATGTTGAACCACATCGTCTAATGGGATAACTTAATGAGTGCAAAATATAACTCATAAATCTTTATTAAGAGGAACATGCTCACATAAACTCATAAGAAAACTATAAGCATATGTCGAGCTTTGATGGCCAACACGTCCCTCAACATGACTATATACACATTTATGTGTAGTCATGTGCGAGGTGTGCTACACTACATGAGCATAATGTGGGCTCAAAGATATGTTTTAATGCTTATATAATAATAATTATTGAATATACTGGTTCAGTTCATTCATGTTAAGTCACGTAGAACCTGGGGGGTTCACATCATGTGATGTGCATGGTGTGGGGGGTTCACATCATGTGATGTGCATGGTGTGGGGGGGTTCACATCATGTGATGTGCATGGTGTGGGGGTTCACATCATGTGATGTGCATGGTGTGGGGGTTCACATCATGTGATGTGCATGGTGTGTGGGGGTTCACATCATGTGATGTGCATGGTGTGGGGGTTTCACATTATGTGATGTGCATGGTGTGGGGGTTCACATCATGTGATGTGCATGGTGTGGGGGTTCACATCATGTGATGTGCATGGTGTAGGGGTTCACATCATGTGATGTGCATGGTGTGGGGGTTCACATCATGTGATGTGCATGGTGTGGGGGTTTCACATCATGTGATGTGCAGGGTGTGTGGGGGTTCACATCATGTGATGTGCATGGTGTGGGGGTTCACGTCATGTGATGTGCATGGTGTGGGGGTTTCACATCATGTGATGTGCAGGGTGTGTGGGGGTTCACATCATGTGATGTGCATGGTGTGGGGTTCACATCATGTGATGTGCATGGTGTGGGGGCTCACATCATGTGATGTGCATGGTGTGGAGGTTTCACATTATGTGATGTGCATGGTGTGGGGGCTCACATCATGTGATGTGCTTGGTGTAGGGGTTCACATCATGTGATGTGCATGGTGTGGAGGTTTCACATTATGTGATGTGCATGGTGTGGGGGCTCACATCATGTGATGTGCATGGTGTAGGGGTTCACATCATGTGATGTGCATGGTGTGGAGGTTTCACATTATGTGATGTGCATGGTGGGGGGGTTCACATCATGTGATGTGCATGGTGTGGGGGTTGACATCATGTGATGTGCATGGTGTGGGGGTTCACATCATGTGATGTGCATGGTGTGGGGGTTCACATCATGTGATGTGCATGGTGTGGGGGTTCACATCATGTGATGTGCATGGTGTGGGGGTTCACATCATGTGATGTGCATGGTGTGGGGGTTGACATCATGTGATGTGCATGGTGTGGGTGCATTTCACATCATGTGATGTGCATGGTGTGGGGTTCACATCATGTGATGTGCATGGTGTGGGGTTTCACATCATGTGATGTGCATGGTGTGGGGGTTCACATCATGTGATGTGCATGGTGTGGGGGCTCACATCATGTGATGTGCATGGTGTGGGGGTTCACATCATGTGATGTGCATGGTGTGTGGGGCTCACATTATGTGATGTGCATAGCGTATTTGTTCACATCCACTCCCATATATATCGTGATAGTTCATAACCTCCACAATGTGGTGATTGTGCCAATGCATGTGCAGCCACAGTGTCAAAGATTGTGCATGTTGCATGTGCAACTAGGGCTTTTAGGAGTGCTTGGGGTCGCGTTGCATGAGCAGTCAAGAGTACTCATGTGCAGTGTTCGGATGATGGCGTCGAGTTCCAAGTCAGAGCCAGCAGGATTCATCCAAGATTGAATGACGTGTCCTCTGACGAAACCTGTGCATCTCTCCTTAATCACGGCGACTTGGTTTATCTTTATTAAACCCCCTTATGAGTTCGGAACCCCTTACGAACTAGTTCGGAACTGCTATACGATGGTTTATCTATATCAATATTATTCATAGGGGTCGAGACCGCCTCGCAGCGTTTCCAAGCTCGTTAACCTTTCGATAAATGCAAACGAAGCCGCCATGATTAACGAAAAGATGCACGGGTTTCGTCAATGGACACTCAAGTCCCGATAAATTCTGGTACGTTGTCTCGTGTTAGTTCAGATCTGTGCGGCAGACGAATCTGTTGACAAAGAAAAATAAATGATCATTCGTGAATATTAATGACGTGTTATCCTGTTCCCATTAACCGTGTTATCTTGACCGTTAATCCCGTTATCCTGACCATAAATCATGTTATCATGACCATTAATCCCGTTATCATGACCATTAAGCATGTTATCTTAGCCATTAACCGTGTTATCTTGACCGTTAATCCCCGTTATCCTCACCATTAATCATGTAACCTTAACCATTAACCCGTGTTATCTTGATCATTAAGCATGTTATCCTGACCATTAGCCATGTTATCCTAATCATTAACCATGTAATCCCGACCATTAACCATGTTATGATGACCATTAACCACCTTATTCTTACCGTTAACAAGGTTATCCTGATATAAACCATGATATCCTGATCACAAATCGCGTTATCCTGACCATTACCCGTAATGGGAAAACATGGGATGGGTGGTTGAAGATATACAGTGTGGAAATAGAGTCGAATAAATGCCTCCTGAGGGCGAGTGTATGTTCCTGAGAGTGTGAGTATGTTCCTGAGAGTGTGAGTATGTTCCTGAGAGTGTGTATGTCTCCAAGGGCGTGTGTATGTCTCCAAGGGCGTGTGTATGTCTCCAAGGGCGTGTGTATGCCCTCGAGGACGAGGGTGGAGGCTTACTCTCTTGTTGTTGTTGTTTAAGACTTGCTACCTGGAACAAAAAGTTCCAAGTAGCACGGGCTATGGTGAGCCCGTAGTGTGGCTTACTCTCGCTCGTCGAAGCAATACTCGTCGCTCCACTGGTAGTCATTGTCGCGTCTGGCGGCTACGCAGTGCTCGTGGCGCCCTGATGCGTTCCTGTTCGGCTCACCGGTGGCGTAGCTGCGTATAAAAGAATATATATATATATATATATATATATATATATATATATATATATATATATATATATATATATATATATATATATATATATATATATATCATCCATCAAAACATCCAATGATATTTTCGCAGCGTAAACTATAGCTCAGAAAGTGAGATTGTGGTCACTAAGGACACTGAGAAGGTCGCCACTAACTTGGTGAAGGTAACAGGTTCCCGGTCTGCCCAAACGTAGCTCCCCGCCACTTCAAGATCATTGAGTCCGATCCACACCGACTCCACAGTAAGGGACACTAATATTCCTGTCAACGATTACAAAATAAACGATTAAATCAACCTATGCAACTGTGTCAATAGTTAATTTTGATCATATGTGCATAGTATATAGGAATATATATATATACGGGACTATATGCAAGTCCCACAAGAGAAAAAACTGGGAAATATGTTTGCGTGAGTGCTTAATGTGTGTTCTTTAAAGGTAATTAAAAAAATGGAACTTATAGCAATTTGGTAGAAGGTACAAAAATTTAAGACTCTTGGGCCCAGAAAGACCAGGTTTTGTATTATTAATTTTATATAGGACGTGAGGGGGTGGGGGGGGGTGGTGGACACTAAAATTTAACATGTTTCGGCCTAGTATATAGCACATGAGTATATTCGGTCTAGTATATTGGTCATGAGAATGTGTTGAACAGCATTTCATCATATGTAATTGAGTTATTTTCTGATATATCTACATTTATATATATCAAACATTTTGTGATCTGTCATAAATGTTCAATATATATTTATATATGTTGACATATGGCTTGTTATAAGACACAGTGAATATCCGTCATATATGGGTTGTAAGTAGACATAATTACCATGGTTATAACAGATTCCACAGTAAATTACCTGTTAGAATGTTGCTTTCCATCTCCGTTTCAATATACGCCAAATGGCTGTTGAGCTGGACGCATCTTTCCCAGGCTTTCCACCACACCATCTTCTCCGAGCTGACTAACACGCAGATGGTCTCGTACTGTAGCCAGCTGCTCGGACAGCTGGAGTTACTACTCATTGCCACCTGCATCTACGGCGACACGATTAATTCAGTGTTCATTGATGGTCTAATACTATCCTCGTCATTCACTCTTTACTCATTCACTCTAGTTCCTCGTCATTCACTCTATACACCACAAGCATTCACAGATATATATATAGTGTTTTGGAGGTGGAATAATAACAGTAATAATAATAATTTACTAAATTAAAATAGGAAAAATAATAGTGTGTGGCAGAGGGTCCACCACCACCACACTCTTGTGAGTGCTTGCACTCCCCCCTCTCACCCTGACGTGAGTGCTTGCACTCCAAGACCACAAGGGAGGTTAGCATTATTAGTACCCACACCTTCATTAAGTAGGCACCTCAGTAGCCTGGTCCTAGACCCGTGCTACCTTTGCTTTCAGAAGAAGTTTTTGCTACTTTATATTTTGTAATGTTACAGGAAGATAAGTGGAAATTGGCGAGGGAAAGGTCTTTTTTTTTTAGTATTGGTTTCATATGCTTTCTTTAAATATTAATTATAATGATAGTTATAAAGAAGCAGGGCGCCGTTGAAACGATTAGGGAACACAGGAGTTAATATCACAGGTCCACGACTCTTTCAATCTTCTGCCAAGAAATATAAAAAATATTTAAAACGACAGTTAAAGCTTCCAAGAGAGAACTACCGCCAGCTTTTCCCTGGAGTTGTTGGATCAGTCTAGCTATGATGGATGGCTATGTGGTCCTGTGAGCTACGGAGACCAGCGGTCTTCAGAACGTGCCGATTACCAGGGCAAACCAGCTAGGGAAATACGACAGGGAGAGCCACCAGGGAAATACGACAGGTGGATCGTAGTTGTAAGCAGGTAATCCACACAGTGGGTGGTAATGGTGGTAGTGGTGATGGTGGTGATGGTAGTTGAAGCATAACCTACCTCAGTGGCCAGCGCCAGGAGCAGGAGCGCCAGACGTAACCTCCCCATCCTCGTAGATGTCTGGCAAACTGACACCTGCATCGTCGCCGCTTCCCTTTATGGCCTCGGACCGTCTACGTCATTCATGACGTCTTACGACCACCACCACAATACTTTCTGCAATTTCTTCCGATATGACACCACCACGAAGGCACTCCCTCCTCAACTCTGCCCCCTCGACGCAGTATTATAAAGCCACTTGGAATCTGCTTATTTCACGCTAAATGTCACTCTCAATCTACACAAGCTGCGTGTATTTTTGCTTCACGGTTATGACTTAATCTCTTCCTTGTTCTCGTGTAAAGGGATAAATCTCTCCGAAGCTTCCAGGGATTACTGAGTGAGCTCGTCTATGATGTAGAGACCTCATGTTGAGTTGAGGGCAACATTGTGTTCTGCAAGGTTCATGTTGTTAGTGTTGTCTTTGTGTTTGATATTGACCTCCACTTTGTAATTAAATTACTGCAGTAGTCAATAACTCCTTGATAGTTAACAATAACTACATTTACTTATAATTCCCTTTTTTACATCTAACTTATTATTGAATAATGTGAAAGCTAGCCTGATTTTTTTGGTTTCTTACTCTCGTACTTGCTGGTTCTTCATTGTATTGAATGTTGTAAAGTTGCTGCTAAAGCATTCACTAACTTGGCTCTTAATTTTCTCTCTTCTTCAGTTGGTTTGTGTCGTTCCCTCATCCCTATCTCAATCTATCTCTATCTATCTCTGTCTCTCTCTCTCTCTTTCTATCTCTCTATCTCTCTCGGCGGAAGCTCTTCCACTGAGCTATCGAGTCTCCTAGTGCCTTAGTGAATGACATGTTTATTTCCACGCTAGTGTGGCTTAACAATTTATATATATATATATATATATATATATATATATATATATAGATAGAGAGAGAGAGATATAGAGAGAGAGAGAGAGAGAGAGAGAGAGAGAGAGAGAGAGAGAGAGAGAGATATAGATAGATAGATAGATATTTTGTATATGTGTTTCTCTGATCATTAGATGTTTTCACTGGATTTGGAGAGTCAACACGACCCACTCACTAATATGTAACGACACCTCCTTATACCATCATCTTCCACTGGTGTGAGTCTTTAAGGCGACAACTGTACATTTCCTAGAAACGCATTTTGTTGCCATATATCCATACGTAGTGACGCTGCTGACTTGGCGGTGTAGAGCCGGGGACGATTAACCTCTCGATAAAAGAGGAGAAGAATAAACGAGGTTGGACCATTGGCGCTTCAATGCTTGATTACTATGGCTCTGAACACGTGTGTAAATATCATTGCCGTGAAGGCTATATACGTGGCTGGAACTCACAGGTGTTTATATACGACCGAGTTAGTAAACACCCTTGTCAATACCTGCAGCCTTGCAGTCACTCCGTCTTTACCCGCTCTATAATTATGTATTATTGTTTTAAACATTTAAAATATCTTAATATATATGGTATCAAGGTAAATGGGGGGGGGGGGGTCTTCGACAAGCCGCCGGCTTTCTGTCCTCGTCGAGGCCAGTAGCGTTAGTGGCCCTCAGGTAAATCAGGTCAATATGGAATTAGCTAACGATAAATATGTTTGTAAGGTCATATTATTTATTATATTTTTGGTTTCAGTTTTTTAGTCAAGGTTATTCGCCTTGCGCTTGTGGCACTCACATTGAAGACGATCGTAGGTCTTCTTCGCTGTGTGGTGCCACCAGTGGGCGTCACCCTCAGTGTGTGGCACCTTCAGAGCTTAACATCTGGTTCTTGGAAGATGGTACCCGAGCTGGTTCCCAAGACTTCCTCCTGGAGGACATCACAACAATCCAGGAGCAAGGTGCAAATTTAGGCCCTCATCGTGAACTTTTCTAAGTGTGAAATAATATGTTCCAACTAGGGCATCATAGAGAGAATAGAGGGTATTCTGCCAAATATCCATATAATCAAACCTGAAGACAGCACACTTCTAGGAGCCCCCCCTGGGGTTCAGGGCCATCGATGAGGTCCTTGATAAGAAAATCGCTGACCTTAAGAGGATAGATGGGAGGATTAAGGATATTGATGCTCATGACACACTTTACCTCATCACCAGATGTCTGTCCCTCCCCAGGTTAACCTACTTTCTGAGGTGTTCACCATCTTACAGTAGCCAAAAACTAGGTGAATATAACCTCTTACTGAAATCAATAATAAAAAAAGCCCCCAACATCTCTCTCGATGACCTTCAGTGGAAACAAGCGTCTCTTCCCGTAATATTTGGGGGCCTCGGAGTCTAAACAGCAACGCAAATCGGTGTACCATCTTGCTGTCCTCCTCGGCAACCGACAACCTTGTGAAGGAAATTCTACCTGCCTACCTAGGTCAGCTGACAGGCGATTTCACACTGATTTCACATTACACACTGCCAATTTCTTACACTGTGCCACAGAGTGGGACAGTGTAAGTGGGACCCATCATCTCAACCACCATCAAAAGCCCACAAGCAATCCAACTGAGATGGCTCCATCGTAGACCAAGTTGCTGCAGAGTGCCTGGGTGCTGCAACAACACAACACGACATTGCTCGCCTCACAGCAGTAGCAGCCCCACATGCAGGGGATTTCCTGTTAGCAACCCCAATGTCGGCAACTGGCACACGTCTCACACCACACGCCCTCCGAAATGCTGCCCCAATCCAAACCAAATATAGGTGTATTTGCCTTGAAAAAAACCCCGAGGGAAATAATATATTATAAAAATATACTTCCCTTGAAAACCAAGGGAAGTAAACTATGTAGAGGAAGTCAGTATAACTATATATGGTTGGGATATGGAGACATGGGAGGAGCTGGGACTGGTACGGGAGTAATGGGACGATGTCCCCCACGCCGCCAGGGATCATCAGAGTCCTTGCAGGTGAATACCAATAGGTCACCGAATCCTAACTAACCCTAAAATGGGCCAGGGTCAGTCGTCGGTTATGTGGACCTTGATATCCGTAATGGCCTTCATCTTTCCAATAACAGGAAGCCGTATTTGAGCTTATTGTTTAAAGTAATTGAAAGAGCAGAGATGGACTAGACAAGAATTACATTATACAGGGTACTTATTGTAGTGGAAGTTTATTTATGTACTTATGTACTCTTTAACAAGTCATGATTATATTTATCTGTGTGATCCTGTTATATAATGCTTTTTAGACCCGTTTATAATACTTTGCATCTCAATTTTTTTTCGAGAGCCCCGGAAGTACAGTCTGGTTCGTTCTCGACTCACAATCAAGAATTTCAGGTTCGAATCCAGGGAGACACAAAAAGGGTAGGGTGCGTTTCCTTTCACCTCATGTTCCTGTCCACCTAGCAGTAACTAGTCAGTCAGTTAGGAGTTAGTCAGCTTGTTGTGGTGTTGCGTCCTACGAGGGGTCAGTAATTCCTTCCTGGAGGGGGGGGGGGGATAGAGAGAACCTCGGTATAAGCCTAACATACACTGCATGTGTAACCTGGCTTCCTGTCCCCCGACACAATGAATTAGTATTATTAGTTAAATTCTGAAATAATTTTTTTGTGTACTTATAATAGTTAGTGTTTTATTGACCAAAGAGAATGAGATACATTTAAGTTCACAGAAAACGTAACATTACCTTGGAAGGGGTAACCCTAGGTTTTCAATCAGTGGTGATGTGATAGACTGAATATCGATATTTTCATTTTAACACGAATACATATACAAACGAATAATAAAAAAACGTGTTTTTTTACTTTGCAATATATACAACACTCAGTTATTAATATTGTGGTGCTATTTTCTTCTTTCTCGGATCATGATCAGGGAGCCTAGGTTCGAGTTCCGGGCGGAACGGAAATGGTTGGGCACGTTTCCTTTCACCTAATGCCTCTGCTCATCTAGCAGTAAACAGGTACTCAGGAGTTAGGCAACCGTTGTGAGGTTACCTCCTGGGAAGGTCAGTAGTTCGATGTTGCAAGTTGGGGTCTGTATGTGATTAAATATGATTACTAGCTTTGTTATCATATTGTGGAAGCTTTCTATGCTTTCTATTTTCTTAGTAGCAGTATTAAGAGCAACAATCAAGTTACCAAAATTCATGGCAAAGAAACTCAGTAATATTTGAAGGATTTATTTTCCACAACGTTTCGTTCCTCCCTGGAACATCTTCAGTTAAAAAATGAATATATAAGGTGCAATGTTTGGGTAAACATATATGTAGAAGAGTCGACGGAGTATGGAGCGAGATGTTGGGGACAATCAAACATAGAGTAAGGGCATGTAGGGCCAACTAATCATAGGGCAAGGGGAGGATTAGCCAGATTGGATATCGCCGATCAGAAATAGTAAGGCATTGAGTAGAACTGTGATACTCTTGGTGGACGGAGAGATCTCGGTAGAGACGTCATTATCCAGTGATGTTTGCGAGGTCTGGGTCTGAGTGTCGGCAAGGAAGTGTAGTCGTTATTCGGTATATTTAAGGTGGGATCTTTTTTTTTTATCTTATAAGCGTGGCTTCCAGGATATGCAATCTTTTTTGGTCAGTGGTAGATTTCACTGGAATCACAGTGGTAGATTGCACTGGAATCACAGTGGTAGATTTCACTGGAATCTACTACTGTTGATGTTTCTTGATCTGATTAAACCGTCATTTAGGTCCAAGTGAGAGTTGTAGATATGATAAGAGTATTTAGTGTAGCTCTTTTTGGCCACAAAATATTGAAATGTTTCAAAACTCAGATTATCTTACAAATACAATTTGAAAAACAAAAAAAAACAAAGGTTAATGGCAAAATATTTAAACTGTGTAAAAAAATAGAGGAAGGAAAAATATATTTCATTATTTTATCTTTATTTTAATATATTTTTAGACATATTAACATCTCTCCCCCGAGCGAGTACAGCGCACCAATTACCACCAATGATCTGCCAGAAAGCCCATAACGTAACTACGTTTCATCAACGTAATTACCTAAGGTTACGACACAGCTATTGACGCCCCACACAGGTGTCAAACGCTACATACAACCCATTTACGAAATTGGAGGAAATGACCCTCGGGGGATCGACAAGTATCTTGTGTTTCGCACGAATTTTCCCGAAATAAATTGATATTAGTTCCTGATTTATCCAAAACAAGAAGCAAAAAACCTGAGATTCAATGTATCGTAGACTGTATGTTTTATACGTCGTCTCTTGTAAATACAGGATATACGCGTGTATTATTAGCCGGTATACGTACTTCAGTTTGCTGGGTAGTTTTGCTGGTGTAAACTCCGGCTCATTTTATGTAATTTAAAGTTGAATGATCGAGTTATGCGAAGGAGAGTTAAGTTCTGTGGAGTGAAGGTCTGTAGTGAAATGTTAGTTAATGAGTGTTGCCTGACAGAGTGAAGGCGGGTAAAGTGAAGTCCTGTTTATAGGAGCCCAGTAGTCCTGTTGAGTGAAGCCCAGTAGTCTTGTTGAGTGAAGCCCAGTAGTCTTGTTGAGTGAAGCCCAGTAGTCCTGTTGAGTGGAGCCCAGTAGTCCTGTTTATAGGAGCCCAGTAGTCCTGTTGAGTGAAGCCCAGTAGTCTTGTTGAGTGAAGCCCAGTAGTCTTGTTGAGTGAAGCCCAGTAGTCCTGTTGAGTGGAGCCCAGTAGTCCTGTTTATAGGAGCCCAGTAGTCCTATTGAGTGGAGCCCAGTAGTCCTGTTGAGTGGAGCCCAGTAACATAACGTTTCATGGAGCGACGGCAGATAGAGTGAAGACCGTTATAAACTACTGTTAACCTAACCTAACCTTCCTGGCGCAAAGTTCGCAGAGGAAGACGAGGAAGGAGAGAGCCGCGCCTCCCGCCCACACGTAGAAGACGCCCAGCAACTGAAGCAGATACACATTACACAATTAGATCATACGGGCTCACCATAGCCCGTGCTACTTGGAAATTTTTGTTCCCGGTAGCTGAATCTATAACAACAACAACAACATAGATCATCTCATACATCTGAGTGTGTGTGTGTAAGATGCTGTCCATGTTTCAGCATCCCACACATCTCTGTTATGGAATTTGACATTTGAATATTTTATTAGTTGTCTCGTTTTCTATGAATTCACATGGGGAGACGGGGTCAAATATCGCTGTTTACGTATTCAAGTGTCAAGCTCAATCTCTGACGAGGAGACTGACAGTTGTACCACCGTTGACAGCGTCTAACGCAGCGTCGCTTGACGTACCGTCAGTTCAGGCAACACAAACCCTTTCTAAAAATATTCTCATATAGGCAAAAGTTTCCCCTCTTTTTAATAGCCAGTGAATAATAATCATTCAAAATTAAGGAAATATTATTTGCCCCCATACTCTTAATTCATTATAATATATATCCTATATGATGTCCGTATTATGTATTTATATTCATTAAAGTTTGAAGAGTTTAGCTTCAGATTTATAAAGGAAACCGAAGATTGTACAATTGTATTGAAGAACTGGTGAAGTGTCAGTATATTTGTTTTGTATATATTGGTGTAGTTAATAAAATTATTTTTGTCCTTTGTCCTCATATAAAGTGCACACCTGTGGTAGCTTACCTGGTCAGGAGTCATGGTCGGTTAGTCAGCCGTCACATGGTCAGGAGTCATGTTGGGTGAGTCAGCCGTCACCTGGTCAGGGCCCCATTACCTTACCATGGACCATGATGGTGGTCTCAGCATGCTATCACCCACCTCTTCCAGAGTCATAGCCGTAGGCTCGGACGAAGCTGTCTCCCACTGGTGACACTTGACCCCAAAATATTTCTTATTGTACTGGCGAAGGATTCCCATCTGTCGCATCCACCGTAACCTGCGGGAGAGTTGCTGGAGCTCAGTCACTCGCACATCTGTTCCCCCTGGAATAGTGTCCTAAGACCTGAGAACACCGGCCGTGGTCCTTCTGGTCCTATGGACCTCACTCCCGGTCCTGTGACTGCCGTGAACGTCAACGTTAATCTATGGGGTCGTTGTCGACGCGACTTATGAGGGTCGTCGTCGACGCGAATTACGAGGGGTCGTCGACGACGCGAATTACGAGGGGTCGTCGTCGACGCGAGTTACGAGGGATCGTCGTCGACGCGAGTTACGGGGGGTCGTCGACGCGCCTAAACTGACATTCAGTCCACTGTGATTAGTGACTCGCGAATGTACTCATATACACATCAATATTCATTGTTGAATATGTCCAGTATGGGTTCAGGAATGCTCGCCTCGCTAGTAGAATACAAATAAATATTATTTACATATATTATGTATGATAATGCGTGTCTCCTAAACAAATATATATATATTATGATGGAATGATAACAATTAGGTCATATAAATCACACAAGAAGCTTAAGGATCTCTATGAATATACATTTTTGGTCCGTTGGATGTTATTATTTTGTTAATTGGAAATGACTTTATACATGTATAAATATAAATGTTTATATATATAATTGCTTTATAAATTTACCGAAAAACAGTATTTATATAGTAAATGGAAGTAGTTTTTCCTAATAATAATAATAATAATATATATATATATATATAGAGAGAGAGAGAGAGAGAGAGAGAGAGGGAGAGAGAGAGAGAGAGAGAGAGAGAGAGCGAGCGAGAGAGAGAGAGAGAGAGAGAGAGAGAGAGAGAGAGAGAGAGAGAGAGAGAGAGAGAGAGAGAGAGAGAGAGAGAGAGAGAGAGAGAGAGGCATTGAAAGTACTGGAATTCACTTACTTTCTATCAAGTAAAGGTTTAAGGAGAGACTTTTTAGGGAGGGCGAGAGCGGCGTATTGGAGGGCCATGGGTTCCTTGCTGTAGGCGAGGACGCACCTTCCCCCTGGTCCAGTAATGTTGCTCATGGTGTAATACGCCCCAATCGCGCCCACTGCAACAATGGGTACACAGTCAATGAGTCTACGGTGAGATCATGACGGGACATATGTGGCGCTTCATGGGTTAAAGACTGTGGGGGTGTGTATTGTATAGGCAGGCCTGGCATGGGTTCTTGCTTTGTTCCCCCTTTCGTGGCTTCTGGGGGTATTGTGCGTCTTTCTCTGATCTTCCGTCACCCCCCTCATAACACACCATCACTTATCATCATCACTCATAACACACCATCACTCATCATCATCATCATCCGTCACAACACCATCATCATCATCATCACTCATGACACACCATCACTCCTTCAACACAGTTAATATCCTGCACAGATACCTCACAACACGCTCCGCTCCTGTGCCAGGTAAGTTAAGGGCTCACCATAGCCCGTGCTACTTGGAGCTTGTTTCAAGTAGCTGAATCTATAATAACAACAACACCCTCTCAACAGACGTGTCCTGCTCTACAACATATTGTGCACAGTTAAAAAAAATAGTCATTACACCGCTCACATTTACAAGGGCACTTACTACGCACAGTTATGCATAGTTACTCCTGCGACACTACTTACTCATAACACTTAGTCATGTTGAGTTAAACACTCGCCGTAAGTGTTTAGTTACGTCGAGAGCTCCTTCACGACAGTTCATTACCAAACACACACACACAGAGTCACCGCAAGATACACAAAAGTGTACCTTGAAGTTCAAAACAAAGAGCAGGAGTGAACTCACTGACATAAGCAATGTCTTTGTGCAGCAGTTCACCAAAGTTGGTCTTGGTGGCGTCTCCGGTGTTCTCTATGATGTGGCCTCGCTCCTCGGCTCGCTGGTACAGAGTGCGGTAGTCCTCGGTTTTCGTGTCCTGGAAGATACGAAAGTGGTAAGAGTTGGTCATCTTTCTCAAACGTTTCTGCTTTGGTTTGTGTGAGGTGCTTATGTAAACCGGTGTGACTGTATAGCCTTTGGAAGGTGTATGAGGACAAGGAGCTGGGATATGGGGACAAGGAGCTGGGATAAGGGGACAAGGAGACGGGATAGGATCATTGGAGACTGCGCGCCGAACCGCTAGCAACGAGACCTCGGCTGTACTCACATATTCAAGTGGTTGGGTTATGTGTTATTGTGAAATGTAATGAAGTGCGTAGGTGACACTATCGACATAACACCTATGCAAAAAAGATGACACTATCAACATGATCACACAGCGCTTCAGACCTTAGATTAGTCCTTTTCAGACGTTTGGTCTGGCGGCTCTAGATTGGTGAAGACTTTGAGTAGGTTTACCTTAAAGAATGGGTGGTATTTAGACCAGGTTCTCGAACCGGTTATCGGGCATGAGGCCTGGAAACCAGATGCTGGAACCGGTTAGGTTTATGTGTCACGTATAGCATGGAATAACATGGGCTTGACTAGGAGAGAGAGAGAGCGACGCAGTACCTTGATAAGATCGTAGCCCCCATAGGCTTTGTCGAGCCGGACGCTCCAGCCCCGCGCGACTAGTTGGTGGATGGTGGTGGGCGGGGCGCTCAGCACGGGCGTAGACAGGAACGCCGTCAAGTTGCCATTGTAGACTCCACAGACGATGATCGCTGATAGCCAGGCACTCACCATCACATGTCGTCCAGGCAGGCTTGGCGGAGGGTGCCTCGATCCTGCACGAGTGGCATCGATCAGTCAGGGAAATATGCAGCTACTCATGTCTTCATACACCAAAAACATATGTATCCACATTAGTAGAGTCCCCGCCAAAGTTGGGTAACAGGGGACACACCTAATGTGTCCCTTAGTGTTCCCTAATGATGAGTAACAAGGGACGCTCGGTTAATGTGTTTGCTCCAGGATTGTGGGAGACTCTTGGAGGTCTTGCGGTCACAGCCGGACAAGTGGTTATAAGACTTCATTCCGAATAAATGTAATGTCATGAGGTTAGAAAGAGGTACTGGGAAGAACGAGGAACAAAACATAATGAAGAAGAGTAGCTATAAGACCGAACCAAAGGCGCGCGCGCGCGCACACACACACACACACACACACACACACACACACACACACACACACACACACACACACACACACACACACACACACACACACACACACACACACACACACACACACACACACACACACACACACACACACACACACACACACACACACACACACACACACACACACACACACACACACACACACACACACACACACAATACAATCAACATTCCGACACAAATTGTTATAGAAATGGATCCACTCTGAAGCTGAGTCCTTAGATTGCATTATAGTATGCTCTGTCGCAACTCAGCATATTTACATACTGGTGCAGATCATGCAAATTTACCTCCTTGTGTCACACACACAAAACAAGATTGGATTTATCAATACAAACGACGCTCGCAAGAACAGGACAAAGATTTCTATGCTTCCTACAATTCAATTTCAGTTTCTTTATTATGCACCCCATACCCATCCCCTGGGCGGTGGTGTAAAGGGTTACAGAGGCACATAATCGGTTCAGGAACTGAACCCATAGTTCGTTTAGCTAAGTGACAATCT